GAAACACAAATAAGATTTTTTAAACTCTCATTTGATTTCAAAATGCGCCACTTATTTGTTAACTTTGAAACCCCCTACAAAGTTTTATAATATCAGTACAAAAAAAAATTAAAATACAAACAATAAAAACTTATTTAGATCAATCTCTAATCCAGACCAAATAACTGTTACTACCAATAATAAACACATTTTTTTATTTTAAATCGTTATTTGTAAGATTTTTCTTTATAAAATTTAAATTTTTATATTTTATTTTAACTTTTATTATTTATAATGCTTTAATTACAGTGCAACTAATTTAGAATGATTTAATAATTCAGATTATATACAAGTATTCTTATTTGTTAATTTTAAATAAATAGTTAAGAATAAAAATTATCATATGGGCGAAAATTTTTGATGGGAACGTTGTGATTATTAAAATTATGGGATATAATAGAAGTTATCGATATTTATTATATCTCAATCATTATTAAATAATTAATACGTATGTACGTACGTACATATCATTACTAATCAATTTGTAAATTTACATAACACAAATAAAATATACAAGGCTTTTTAGATGATACTTGTGTCAGACATTGCCTTTGCACGAACTATGGCACCACACAAACCTTTTTCCTGTCTGCTTTGCAATAATTCGTATTCCTTTAAATCATCATTAAGTAGTCAAGAAACTGTTAAACATAAAATGAATCGTATAGTTCAACACCATCAATACTTTTCTGTTTTACCTAAAGAAATTATTAACCATTTTCGTGCAGTTTTTCTTCAAGATATTAATAATAAATTAGGCTTTCATCGATCCAATGAAGGTGTGAACACTTTCAATCGGATTGTCCAGAAAGTCTATTCTATTATTTTTTCAAATGAAATTGAATTTTCTTATCGACCATCCATACGAAGATACACTTGTATTTTTAATGGACAAAATGGATATAACCGAATAGGAAATATGAGTTTTGAGGAGGAAGACAAATGAAATGGGAAGTGAAACGTTTGTATTAGGGGGTTTCAAAGTTAACAAATAAGTGG